CACACACACACACACACACACACACACACCCGTGCTAGTTTTTATAGCTGGGGCTGAGGGGAGACTGGACTCCTGTCCTACAGGACCAGCCCCAGATCCATGTGCTACTTGTATGCTGGGAGTCTCAGCCAAGATTTGGTTCTGGGAAGCTCCCTTGCTTTTGACCAGAGTCAGGTACAAATCGGGGCTCCCTGGGAATGAATTCAGAGGGCATCTGGTCGGAAGGCCAACAGAAGGATTCTGCATGCCGGAACCACAGATGCTATCTCTCCGGCCAGGTGCTGTGGGGCCGACATGAAGTTGAAAAAGCAGGTGACGGTGTGCGGGGCTGCCATCTTCTGTGTGGCTGTCTTTTCACTCTACCTGATGCTGGACCGCGTGCAGCACGATCCTGCCAGACACCAGAACGGGGGCAACTTCCCCAGGGTGAGTCACACCTCGTTCTCCAGATGCATCTCCCCAGCAGGAGAGCCGTGCGTGCGGGACAAGACGGCCCTCCTCCCCCATGGTCTTAGGGATTAGTCCTAGAGCCTGGGGCACAGATGCAGGCTACATGAGCTACAGCTGAGTTATAGATCTGGAGCCCAGGAACGCTCCGAGGCGGATTTTCCTTCTTTTGGAGGTGAATGCCCAAGGGCTGGTGCATGCTCTACCACTGGGCTGTGCTCCTGGCCACAACAGGAAGTGGGAGGCAGCAAGAGGAGGAGGAGAAAAGTGGCCATGTATATTGCTAGACAGAGTTGAGTCCTCGGCAGACCCCGCTAATGGACTGCAGTGTTTTGTTTCCATTAAGCTGAATGCGGTCCTCAGCACCGTGCTTGAGACAGGAAGTACAGGTCGCTGAGCACGGGCATGTGAGATGAAATGTTTGCCTGCCCCCCCTGAGCTTCTCAAAGCCAAGTGGGCAGGAGTCTGCAGGAGTGATGTGCGGAGAGCACTTCATCCCTGTGGGCCTGTGGTCTGACCTGGCCTGAGGAGAGGGGAGTCATAGGCCAGTCGGGCATCAGGTGGTGACCTCAAGCAGGAATTCTTCCGGTGACAGGGAGGGAGCCGCGAGTGATTCCTTTCTGTTCTTCTTTTGGGCAGAGCCAAATTTCTGTGCTGCAGAACCGGATTGAACAGCTGGAACAGCTGTTGGAGGAGAACCACGAGATCATCAGCCACATCAAGGACTCCGTGCTGGAGCTGACGGCCAATGCGGAGGGCCCGCCAGCCCTGCTGCCCTACCACACGGCCAACGGCTCCTGGGCAGTGCTCCCAGAGCCCCGGCCCAGCTTCTTCTCTGTCTCCCCCCAGGACTGCCAGTTTGCTTTGGGGGGCAGGGGGCAGAAGCCAGAACTACAGGTAAGAGCTGGAGCTGGCGGGGACCTCCTGTTGTCGGAGACGGGCACTGAGCCGCATTCCTCCTGACAGATGTTAACTGTGTCTGAGAACTTGCCATTCGACAATGTGGAGGGTGGCGTGTGGAGGCAAGGTTTTGACATCTCCTACAGCCCAAATGACTGGGATGCCGAAGACCTGCAGGTGTTTGTGGTGCCCCACTCACACAATGATCCAGGTGAGGGCCCCCGCAGGCCCGGCGCCAGGGTGTGGGGCAGGCTTTCTCCTGATGAGGAACGTGAGGGGTGCGGCTGAAGTGTGTGGCGTATTCAGGGGACCCTATTGTTGGCTCTCCCAGGCTGGATCAAGACTTTTGACAAGTACTACATGGAACAAACCCAACACATCCTCAACAGCATGGTGTCCAAGCTGCAGGAAGATCCCCGACGACGCTTCCTCTGGGCAGAAGTCTCCTTCTTCGCCAAGTGGTGGGACAACATCAGTGCCCAAAAAAAGGCAGCAGTTCGAAGGTAGTGGCGGTTAGGAAGGCGTGGGAGAGTCGTTGCCTAAGCCCTAGCAGGGTGGGTTGGTCTTGTCTCATTCTGTGGGTGCCAAGCTTGTGGGTATTCCCTGGCTGGGGGAGGCCAATGCATGCAGTCTCTGCCATCCTCTACCTGCCAGGACCAAGCCAAGGGTCCCTGTCACATCCTAAGTGTGCCTTCTTCATCCTTAGGCTGGTGGGAAACGGGCAGCTGGAGATCGCAACAGGCGGGTGGGTGATGCCAGATGAGGCCAACTCCCATTACTTTGCCCTGATTGACCAGCTCATCGAGGGGCACCAGTGGCTGGAGAGGAACCTGGGTAAGTCCGGGCATGGGAGCCAGACTCCGCCCCAGAGCTGGGCCTGAGCACCGCGGCAAGATGCTGCGAGGTACAGGGATTGGCAGGAAGGTATTCCTTTAAGAGCTGGCCTTCCAGGCACTAAGAAGCCAGAGGCCAGTCCCGGAGGTATTCGGGACCTTTGAAATCTCTGCTCTGCGTAGGTGCACCCCCTCGCTCGGGCTGGGCAGTGGACCCCTTTGGGTACAGCTCCACCATGCCTTACCTGCTACGCCGTGCCAACCTGACCAGCATGCTGATTCAGAGGGTGCATTATGCCATCAAGAAGCACTTTGCTGCCACTCACAGCCTGGAGTTCATGTGGAGGCAGATGTGGGGTAAGACCAAGGAGGGCATGGGTATTACAGCAGTGTAGTCTTCGCTGGGGAAGAGAAGGTTTATTAGAAATCGGACCCCTATTGTCCCTAAGGGCAGACTGCCTGAAGCAGCTCTTGTCTTGGGTTAGGAGAGAGTCATGTTGACCTCTGCTGGCTTCTGTGGGCACATGTCCTGCAGGAGCTGTGGATTTGGGAGCCCCCGGGTCCTATTCCCAGCCTACACATATCTACAGTCCTGAGTTTAGCCAGAGTCTCAGTGTCTCTCAGGGCTGCCTGTGGACGACTCGAATCTACACACTTGTGATGTCTTTGTGTCTGGCGGCTAACCCTGCCTGCCCAGGGCTGACCCTATGGTATGTCTTTGCCTTCTGTAGATCCAGACTCCGGCACAGACATCTTTTGCCACATGATGCCCTTCTACAGCTATGACGTTCCACACACCTGTGGCCCTGACCCCAAGATCTGCTGCCAGTTTGATTTCAAACGTCTGCCGGGTGGGCGCATCAACTGCCCTTGGAAGGTGCCTCCGAGGGCTATTACAGAGGCCAATGTGGCAGACAGGTATCTGCTGTCAGCCCTGCTTGGGCAAGGTGTTGGGTTTTGGTTTTGATCTGTGTAGCCCCAGCAGTACACAATCCTCCTGCCTCGGTCTCCTGAGAAAGGGGTAGCAGGTCTTTGCTACCACACCCAGCTGGTATTGACGTTTTGCTCCTCAGAGGAGTTAGACCGAAACCTGGCTTCTGGTCTTGGCTGGGCCACCCGGGACTGCAGGATGCTGACCATACCTGGAAAAAAGGGTAGACTCCGGTGGAGAGTTCAAGCCATGCATCTGCCTCCCTGCGGGGTGGGAATGGTGCTTAGCTTCTTCCCAGAATGCTTTTACTTTCCTCAGGGAAGCTGCCTTCTGATGCCCTAATAGACTGGGAGGCATTCCCCACCCCCACCCCCTTTTTTTCTTTTTGAGACAGGATCTCATATTCCAGGCTGACTGGCTTCAAACATGCCTCCATTTCCTGAGTGCTAGGTTACAAGCATGACTCACCACGCCTGGTTTATGCCCAAATCAGGGGTTTGTGAGGCCGGGCAAGCACTCTCCAAACTGAGCTACATCCCCAACCCTAAACAATTCTTTTTTTATTTTTCTGAGACAGTCTTACTATGCAATTCTGGCTGTCCTGTCACTCACCATGTAGACCGGGCTGGCCTTGAACTCACAGAGATCTGCCCACCATTGCTTCCCAAGTGCAGGGGACTAAAGACGTGCACCACTATGCCAGGCACCTGCCCTAAACAATTCTTACTTGGGTACTATTTCCTGCAAGCTTTCAGCTGCTGTCCTTCATTTGACTTAGGTTCTCTGGGTCAGCTCCAAGTCAGGCAGGTGGATCTTCTATTCACTGGGCCCAAATCCTGTTTAGATCTACCCAGTCCTGCCAGAGAGCCTCTAACCTCTGAGAAAAAAGACCTGTCCCTTCTAAGAGAATAGTAAAGACCCTCAAAGATGCCACTGTGGCTACAATGGGACCCCTATAAACGGGTTGGTTAAGGTTGATCTAAATGCCACCTTAGCTAAAATGTTGAGACTATAGTAAGAAGCAGCGGCAGTGACTCAGGCCTGCGATCCAAGCAAACACCAGAAGAGCTACTTTCTTTTTCTTTGTTGGAGACAAGGTCTTGTCATGTAGCTCTGGCTTGCCCAGTACTCACTCTGTAGCTCAGGCTGACCTTACTCACTCTGTAGCTCAGGCTGACCTCAAACTTGCAACAATCCTCCTGCCTCAGCCTCCAGGTGTTGGGATTGCAGGCACCTGGCAGGAAGAAGCCTCTAATGACATGCCGTAAGTCTCTAGTGGGTAGATAATATGGATAAAAAAATAAATGTTCGCATACAGTTGAAGCAAGTCACCGTTCCTCGTGTGGGGGCTTTAGACAGAGTCTCATGGAGCTGCGACTGTCCTGGAACTTGCTGGTAGGTGAGGGTGGGCTTGAACTACTGATACCCCAAAGTGCTGGGATTGCAGGCATATGCTCCTGCCACACTCAGCAGGCCTTCTCTGTGTAGACCTGTCTGGCTTCAAACTTGGAATCTTCTTGCCTCAGCTTCCCAAGTGCTGGGATTGAAAGGATGTGCCACTGTGCCTAGCTTTTCTTTTCTTTTGTTTTTGTTTTTTGGGTTTTTTTTTTTTTGTTTGTTTGTTTTTTTTTTTTGAGACAGGGTTTCTCTGTGTAGTTTTGGTGCCTGTCCTGGATCTCACTTTGTAGACCAGGCTGGCCTTGAACTCACAGAGATCCACCTGACTCTGCCTCCCAAGTGCTGGGATTAAAGGCATGCACCACCACTGCCTGGCATGCCTAGCTTTTCATAGGAATTTTTTTTTCTCTTTCTTTTGTTGAGACGGTATCTTATTATGTCATCCTGGCTGGCCTGGAACTCGCTATACAGATCAGGTTGGCCTCATACAAAGATCTGTCTGCCTTCTGCCTTCCAAGTGCTAGAGTTAAAAATGAATGTCACCCAGCATAGTTTGCATGTGTGTGAGCCCACGTTTGTGGATGCACATACAGGTCTGTAAGTGTGTATGGAGACCCAAGGTTGACATCAGAAGTCTTCCTTGGTCTTTTTCTGCCTTATTCATTGAAAAGGCTTCTCAGCTGAACCCAGAGCTTGTCGCCAAGTATGGGCTGATCTAGTTGTGCAGCTTGCTCTGGGGAGCCTGTCTCCACCCTCTGAGCTCTGAGATTACAGTCAGGCCACCATGCCCACTGGTATTTACAGGTTTTGGGGGTGGGGTGGGGTGGCAAACTCCAGTTTTCACACTTGCGTGACAAATATTTTATCCACTGAGCCACCTCCCCAACCCCCTCACTGATCTTTTTAAGTCTGGGACTTCATGTTGGGCCTGTGACCTTCTGTGTTTCCAGGGCAGCCCTGCTCCTGGACCAGTACCGGAAGAAGTCCCGGCTCTTCCGAAGCAATGTCCTCCTTGTGCCGCTGGGCGATGACTTCCGGTATGACAAGCCCCAGGAGTGGGATGCCCAGTTCTTCAACTACCAGCGGCTCTTTGACTTCCTCAACAGCAGGCCTGAGCTGCATGTGCAGGTGGGAGGCGTGTGCAGACGGATCTGCGCCTGTAATGCTGCGGCCCGGTCCTGGCTGTACCAGCCCTGCCGCTGAGGGCTCCAGGTCGTTCCCTATCCTGGGCAAGGTTCCTATGTGGATCAGAATTCATTCCCAAGTCCCCCCAGCTCTTGCTAGGCCCGGAAGAGCAGGACATACAGATTTAATTGCCCTTTGCTAGACCAAGTCCTCACCCCTGCCCGCACCTGCAGCACTGTGGAATGGTGGCCAGAGATCCCAGGAGGCTCTGTAATTGATGGAAGCTTGTTTTGGGTCCCCACAGGCCCAGTTCGGGACCCTCTCCGAGTATTTTGATGCCCTCTATAAGAGGACGGGAGTGGAGCCCGGTGCCCGGCCTCCAGGGTTTCCTGTGCTGAGTGGAGATTTCTTCTCTTATGCTGACCGGGAGGACCACTACTGGACAGGCTATTTCACTTCCCGGCCTTTCTATAAGAGCCTGGACCGAGTCCTAGAAGCCCACCTGCGGTGAGAACTGCCACCTCTCCTTGCTGAGTGAGAGTTAACCTTGGCCGTGTAGGAGGGGCGGGGTAGCGAGAGAGGACCCCATCAGTGTGTGGTGGCCCCCTGGAGTAGGTTGAACAGAACAGGAAGGCTCTGACTTCTTTCTCTGGGTAGTGGGGCAGAGGTTCTATACAGCTTGGCTGTGGCTCATGCCCGCCGCTCTGGACTGGCTGGCCAGTACCCGCTGTCTGATTTTGCTCTTCTGACGGAAGCTCGCCGCACGCTGGGGCTCTTCCAGCACCACGATGCCATCACCGGAACTGCCAAGGAGGCGGTGGTAGTAGACTATGGGGTCAGGTAGGAGCCACCCCCATGTCCCTCCCCATTTCAAAGAGAGGATATGCGTGTGATTGGTGGGTAGGCTGCAGCTGAGGGCTGGTCCTGCTGGCGCGGCAGACAGCTGGCTTCCCCGTGACCATCTTTCTCTCCTGCTCACCACAGGCTGCTGCGGTCCCTGGTTAGCCTGAAGCAGGTCATCATCAATGCTGCTCACTATCTGGTGCTGGGGGACAAGGAGACCTATGGATTTGACCCTGGGACACCCTTCCTCCAAATGGTGAGCCCCCTCCGACATCTGCTTGAGAGATCCTCTGGTGTGGGTGGGTGCTACCTCAAGAGCTGTTGTTAGTGGGTACCGTTCCTCCTTTGCCTTCTTTGTTTTGGGGTACAAAGTCCACGCTTAAGGTAGTTGGTGGCTCATGGCCTGGACAGGTTGGGGTGCAGAGGAGGTTGAGCCCAGCCATCATCCTTTCTCCATGCTCACATCCTTGCAGGACGACAGTCGTTTAAGTCACGATGCCCTGCCGGAGCGCACGGTGATCCAGCTGGATTCCTCACCCAGGTGAGCCAGGCCTGGCTAGGTTCACGGGGGCACCCTCCACTCCCCCCAGTGCAGGGGGCCCTTGTTCTGGCTGCTGCCCCTGCCCCGCCGCCGCTGCAGCAAGCTCCTGGGTCAGCCCACCTTCTACCCACAGGTTTGTGGTGCTGTTTAACCCGCTGGAACAGGAGCGGCTCAGTGTGGTGACCCTGCTGGTCAACTCCCCAAGGGTGCGAGTCCTGTCAGAGGAGGGCCAGCCCCTGTCTGTGCAGATCAGCATGCACTGGAGCTCGGCCACCAACGTGGTCCCCGATGTCTACCAGGTGAGGCAGGCTCAGCGCCCCCTGCTCAGTGCCTCTCCTGGGGCCTCACTCGCCAGCAACACCTGCTCCCCGCTCCTGTGTTCTGCTTCTCCCCAGGATGGAGGCAGGTGGCTTGGGGAGAAGCCCAAAGGATAGTCACTCTGGGGATTTGAGTATCCTTAGAAGGATGGTGAGGACACTGTGGTACTAATTATAGCCCAGAGGGCAGCAACAGTGCCCTCAGCTGCCCAAGTATTTATTGTTTCCTTCATTGTGACGGGGTCTTGCTTGTTGCCCAACCTGGTCTTTAATTCCTGGACACAAGCTTCTAATGATGATTTATGGTGTTGAGTTATTATGCATTTCATCTGTGACATGGATGAAAAGTAAATGTTCAGATCTAGATCATGCCAAGCACTGCTCGAAGCACTTAGATAGTCAGTTCATTGCAAATTTGTTTTTAAAGACAAGGCCTCACTGTGTAGTTGAGGTTGGCTTCAAACTTGCTGGCCTCTGCTTAACCCCCTGACTGTTGGGGTACAGTGAGGTACGATCACTCCTGGCTTTCATTAAACTCTTACGAGTGTACACAGTGATGCAGTCATCATTTCCAGAAGCAGAGGCCCAGAGAGGTTAAGTTATTTGCCTAAGGTCGCTCAGATAGTATGTGAAGCCTGCTTTGGACCCCAGGCTCTCAACCGAGCGCTGTGCCCTTTGGCTGACAGGCGTGCAGAATGACAATGCAGAGCCAGGATCCCAAAGCAGACCTGACTTTTCAGAACGAAGTGTAAGGTTCCACACTTAGCTTCAGAAAGCAGAGTGCAGAGGTCGAGGGTGAAGGGAGCAGGCCCGTTTGGACGGCTGCTGCTCTGCTCATGCTTCCTTCCGCCTCTGGGCTCCCAGGTGTCGGTGCCCATCCGCCTGCCAGCCCTGGGTCTGGGTGTGCTGCAGCTGCAGCCCGATCTCGATGGGCCCTACACGCTGCCGTCTTCTGTACGCGTCTACCTGAACGGTGTGAAGCTGTCCGTCAGCAGGCAGACGGCATTCCCTCTCCGTGTCATGGACTCCAGCACCAGCGACTTCGCCATCAGCAATCGCTACATGCAGGTCTGGTTCTCCGGCCTTACTGGGCTCCTCAAGGTAAAGGGCCAGGCCAGGGGTGGTGGGGGAGGGACCAGAGGAGGGCATGGGCATCGGGGCTTGTGTACCGCTGTTCCTGGCCCCATGTGCCTCCTGTCACCTGACTCACAGTGACTTGGGTGTGAGCATGCGCAGTTGTCAAGCTAACAGCGTGGCGAGGCTGAGTGTGTTAATCATCCGCTACTGTGTCTGTGAGTCGTAAAGGAGAGGAGGTCGATTTCAGCTCACAGTTGGTGAGCATTGAGCCTCCAGGTGGGCACACCCACTGCGGTGGGGCCTGAGGTTAGGCAGCATGCCAAGGCAGGGGGCGCACCTTAGGAAAGTAAATTACTTCACAGCCAGGATGCAGGAGAGGGGTTGGGTGTTGTGGTGCATACCCGTAATCTCAGCAGTGGAGGGAGCAGAAGCAAGAGGGTCAGAAGTTCAAGGTCGTCTTTGGCTGCATCGCAAGTTTGAAGCCAACCTGGACTACACGAGACCCTTGTCTCAAAAAAAGCTTAAAGAAAGTTGTTGGGTTTGGTCACATACACCTTGAATGCTAGCACTTGAGAGACTGAGACAGGTGGATCTCTAAATTCAAGGCCAGCCTGGTCTACACGGTGAGTTCCGGGTCAGCCAGAGTTACATAGTGAAGTGGTGTCTCGAAAGAGAGAGAGACAGAGACAGAGAGACAGAGGGGAATAGAGAGAGAGATGGGGGCCGGATAAAAAGGGACTGGAACAGTCAGGGCCACACAAAGAAACCCTGTCTCAGAAAAAAGAAAGGTGGGGCTGGAGAGGCGTGCCAGATAAGCAGTCTGCTCTGAGAAGGCCTGGGTTGGTCCCCAGCACTGCCCGGAACCGAGTGTGGTGGCACGTGCCTGTGACCCCAGCATTGGGAGGCGAAGGCAGGAGGATCAGAAGCTAAGGTCAGCCTGAGCTGGCCGGGGGCGACGCACGCCTTTAATCCCAGCACTCGGGAGGCAGGGGCAGGCGGATTTTGAGGCCAGCCTGGTCTACAGAGAGAGTTCTAGGACAGCCAGGTCTGCACAGAGAAACCCTGTCTCAGAAAAACAAGACAAGGTGGAAGGGGGGGGAGGGAAGTGTTGAGCCCACGGTCCCTACCTCGCTGAGTGGCAGCAGTCTGGGAACGAGCCCTTAACACACAGGCCTTGTGGGGGACGGCTAAGATCCCGACCGTGGCATCGGGCTTGGCTCCTGGGGGGAGGTCAGTCCATGCCCTCCCCGGGGGAGACCTGACGTGCTGGTGTGGGGCCAGGGGTCAGGGCTGTGTTTCTTGGCAGAGCATCCGAAGGGTGGACGAGGAGCAGGAACAGCAGGTGGAGGTGAAGGTCCTCATCTACGGCACCCGCACGTCCAAGGATAAGAGTGGAGCCTACCTCTTCCTGCCTGACAGCGAGGCCAAGGTAGCCCGAGAGCCTGCCAGGCCTGGTGGACGGGGGGTGGGGTGGGGTGGGGGAGCCTGCCGGGCCTGGTGGACGGGGAGGGCCTGGGAGGGCCTGGGAGGGCCCGGGAGGACCTGGCACCCCTACAGTGCTCACTGCTTCCTGCATGTCGCCCTGCTGTCCTTGCTCATCGCCGTGTGGAGGTTGGTGGGCTGTGGTCTTAACCGTAGCTCAGGCCTGCTGGGCACAGGTGGTCAGGCCAGGACACTGGGCCCAGGACTTTGGTGGCCCCACTCTGGGTTGGTACTGTTACTGCGTCCTCTGTGCTATGGGTTCAGTGGCCTTTGCTCTTTTTCCAGCCCTATGTCCCCAAGAAGCCCCCCGTGCTCCGAGTCACCGAAGGCCCGTTCTTCTCGGAGGTGGCTGCGTACTACGAGCACTTTCACCAAGTGGTTCGCCTTTACAACCTGCCAGGTGAGCCCTGCCGTGGGGACGGGCACAGGCAGGCGTGAGGTCCCCAGGCGGCACCCGTTCTGCCCCCTCGCTGGTGACAAGCAGTGTGTCCTTTGACATGGGATGCTTGACTCTTGGGGACAAATCCAATCACCAGTGCCCTGGGAGCTCGCAGGGGAGGAGGGTGGGTAGAGCTTCCCTGGGCATAGTCACTTCTGGCTCGCCTCACTTCTGGCTGCCCCTGTGTCTAGGGGTAGAGGGTCTGTCTCTGGACATGGCATTCCTGGTAGACATCAGGGACTATGTGAACAAGGAGCTGGCCCTGCGCATCCACACGGACATTGACAGCCAGGGTACTTTCTTCACAGACCTCAATGGCTTTCAGGTACTTCTTGGGCCCCGTGGGACTTGGACTGCTTTGGCCTTCCAATACAGGTGCTGTGGGGTGGGGTGGGGGTATGCGCAAGGACCAGAAGCAAGTACAGGGCCAGTGAGATGGCTCTTGATCAGGCCTGAGAACCTGAGTTCAATTCCCGGAACCCCGATAAAGGTGGAAGGGGAGAACCCACAGAGAAGATTCCACAGAGTTCTTCTCTGACCTCCACGTGTGTGCTGTAGCACTTGCATACATTATACACATACACACAATTTAAAAAATATAGCTGGGCAGTGGTGGCACACGCCTTTAATCCCATCACTCGGGAGGCAGAGGCAGGTGGATCTCTGAGTTCGAAGCCAGCCTGGTCTGCAGCGTGAGTTCTAGGACAGCCAGGGCTACACAGAGAAACCCTGTCTCAAAAAACCAACCAACCAACAACAACAAAAACAAAATAAAACAAAAATAGCCAGGAAAGCCTTCACACCGAGCAGCCTACAGAACACAAGTCAGACACCATTCCTGGCTGGCTTTGAACTCCTGCCTGCAGGTACAGCCCCGGCGGTATCTGAAGAAGTTGCCCCTGCAGGCTAACTTTTACCCCATGCCAGTCATGGCCTACATCCAGGATGGACAGAGGCGCCTCACACTGCACACTGCCCAGGCCCTGGGTGTCTCCAGCCTCGCTGACGGTGAGTGGGGAACCAGCCTACCTTTTGCTCCCCTCTCTCTAGACCCCACCACCCCAAAGCTTGAAAAGGAGGTGAGCTATCCACAGCTCCTGTCAGTCACACTGGGAGAAGCAGCTGGGTATTGGAGGGTTATTCCCAGTGAGGGATACAGCTCTTTTTTTTCTTTTTCTTTTTCTTTTTCTTTTTCTATTTCTTTTTCTTTTTCTTTTTGATTTTTGAGACAGGGTTTCTCTGTGTAGCCCTGGCTGTCCTGGATCTCACTCTGCAGACCAGCTGGCTTCAAACTCATAGAGATCCCCCTGTCTCTGCCTCTTGAGTGCTGAGATTAAAGGCGTGCGCCACTACCAGGCAGGTGGTTACAGTGTAATATTTAGGAAAGGAGAAATATACATATTTCAGGAAAAGAAAGGCTGACATTCTTACTAATCAAACCAAGGTTTCTAGGCCTAGTAGCACAGATGTGTAAGCCCAGCTCCTTGTAGGCTGAGGTAGGATCCTAAATTCGAGCTCAGTCTGGGCAACTTAACTTTGTCTGGAGACTGGCTCTATGATGGAACTCTGGTGTGGCATGAGCAAGGTGTGAGGCTTCCTCCTCAGTCCTGGAGGAGTGAGGAGTTGGCAGGCACAAGGTGAAAGCTCACCCCACCCCCACCCCACCCCCACCCCCAGGGATCTCCATAGCCTTGGGACAAAATGAGCATACTTTATGGACTCTGAGGCCCCAGAGGTCTGTCTGTCTGTGGGGTATAGAGCTGGTGAGGGCTGAACTGAGTGTCGGATCAAGGCTATGTCACAGTGGTGGTGAGTGTTGAGCCTGCTTCCTCTATGTGGCTCTCCTATCCGCTGCCAGGATTTTTTGGGGTCTGTCTGTCTGAACACTCCTGAATACAGCCCATTGTCCTTAGTCAGCTGTCTGCCCCTCTGGGACATGGGGCATTAAGGAATGATTGTGTTCTATGCAAGGAACCTATTTTAGGGTTGGAGACAGCTTCCTGTCTGCTCAGAGTACAAAGCCAGAGAGACTACAGAAATCAGAGTAAGGGCTGTGGAGATGAAAGGGAGAATTGGCCCTCTTGGGGGGGGAAGCTCTTGTGGGTGACTGTGGTGAAAGCCTTTCTTTCCTCCCATCCTTCAGCTCTGCAGTGAGACCTTTCCCCCAGGCCTATTCCAAATGGGAAACAGAGGTGGTCCTCCTCTGTCTCTTTGGAGGCCTTACTGAGCCTCACCTCACTTCCCTTCTGCCTGTCCTCACCATAGCCTGCTTCTGACAGGATCCATGCCTGTCTGGACTGCTGGGCCTTGTAGCTAATGCCAGGTAAAGCAGAGACAAGAGAGTGTGTGTCAGTCCTGCGTCTGTCCAGCTGAGGAAGCCAGCCCACCTCAGATGAGGGCCTGCAGCAGTGTGACAGACAGGCCTCTCAGTTTTCCGTCTGCTGTTGACTGTGTTCTGTGTGGCCTGTCCCCAAAGAGGCTTCCTGCTGGCCTAGGCCCAGGGCCCAAGCCCTACTCCCGGGTCACAGAGGTCAACTGCCATGGTCAGCACCCCCTTTCTAGGTCTCCTGTTCTCCACCTAGAGAGATAAGGCGAGACCCCTGCACTCTGCTCTCCCAGTACCAGGAGGCCATCATTCTCTCTTCTGAGGGACTCAGCTTGTCTGTCTCGCTGGCCTTGCCCTGAGTACCCGAGGTGGAGAGTCTGCTTAGCCCTGGGTTTGGCTGCCTGGAGCTTACTGTCGACCTCCCCCAGGCCAGCTGGAGGTGATCTTGGACCGACGGCTGATGCAGGACGACAACCGGGGTCTGGGCCAAGGGCTCAAAGACAACAAGATCACCTGCAACCGCTTCCGCCTCCTGTTAGAGCGGCGGACCGTGAGCCAGGAGGTAACATCTGGGCCCGCTGTCCAGCGAGCTGGTGTAGGCTCGGCCTTGTGGGTTCCCAGATGTAGCCGGAGGGCAAGGGGCAGACAGCACAGCTTAATTCCCGCGTCGAGGCAGGAGCCCCATGGCATTTGCTGACCCATCTCATGCAGCTTGGCAGTCCCTCCCCAGCCACCCCCTGTCACCTTGCCCGTCATGTTCATCTGTCTCTGTCTTCGCTGCCCTCATCTCCCCTCCCCTCCCCTCCCCTCCCCTCCCCAGCCTGAGCATTTCCTAACCCTGACATAACCCTGCTCATCTCTCGGCTTTCTTTGCCTCACCAGCCTGGCTTTTTCTCCAAACTGGCAACCATGTTTAGGGGCTTGATCTTTTCCAGCAACACGATCAGGAGCCCAAAGGTAAGGGTCAGCGAGGGCCTTGGAGGCCTAGGGTGAGCAGGCTAGCCCTGTAGTTTGAGTCTGCTGCCTAGCATCCTGCAGGTGTGGCTTAGTCCCTTACTCCTGGCGTAGATGCTGAGCCCCGCTATGCTGTGGGAAGTGAAGGATATGGGCCAATGTGCTGCTGCCCCAGGCCCCACTAGTGAGCGGGGTCTAAGTGTACGCGTGAAGCGGGGTCTCGCTGGGCCTGCAGTGCCAGGGCAGCATGGGCTGGAGAGGTGACAGACGCTGCCTGAAACAGCGGTCACCGGGCTCAGCTTTGGTGAGTGCAACCATGCACAATGTCAAAGGCAGCGGTGACAGAGTGGAAGGGGGACCCGCTGTGATTTTAGACTGAAGCAGTGCTGGCCAGCATGGCAGCCACCACCCACATGTCCTGGCCATTTGGGGGTACTTGGATTGAACCCAGGGCTCTGTACATGTTAGGCAAGTGCTCTACCATTTAACTAAGCTAAGTCTCCAGTTTTGGTTTTTGGGTTGGTGTTGGTTTTGGTTGTGTGTGTGAGAGAAAGGGTCTTATGTAGCTTGGGCTGCCCTCTTGATGTAGTAAGGATAACCTCAGGGTTATCCTTAGTTAACCTTGACTTTGGCCTCACTGTTGCCTTGGCTGTCCTTGAACTCCTGAGTTCAAGTGAGCCTCTGGTCTCAGCCTCCCAAGAAGCTAAGAGCACAGACATACCACCATGCCCAGTTACATATGGCTGTTTACTTACTTACCTTTTTTTGAGACAAGGCTTCATGTAGCCCAGGCTAGCCTTCATCCTCCTGCCTCTGTTTTCCAAGGGTTAGAATTATGGGAGTGTACCACCAGGCTTGCTTTTTTAACCGTGTAGCTGCTCAAATGAATGAGGATGAAATAAGTTGAGGTTTTCACTCACACCAGCCATATCCTTGGCCAGGTGTGGTGGGTGGCACGTGTCTTCAACTCTGGCACTCAGGAGATAGAGGCTGGTGGATCTCTGTGAGGGTAAAGCCTGGTCTGCATAGGGAGTTCCAGGGCAGCTAATGCTACATAGTGAGACCCTGTCTCAGAACAGTAAAGAATAAAAACAAATTATAGGAGGCTGGAGAGATGGCTCAGTGGTTGAGAGCATTGATTGCTCTTCCAGAGGACCCAGGTTTGATCCCAAAACTCATAGGGCAGCTCAGGGCCATCTCTAATTCCAATTCAAGGGACACAGTGTCTTCTTTTGGCCTCCAGGAACACTGCATACATGAAGTGCACAGACTGTATACAGGCAATGCCCCCCCCCACATACACAAACTAATACTAATAAATTGTCTTTTAAATGGCACTTAAGCCCCCTGTGGTTCCAAGTGGTCAGTAGCTATCACAGAAGCCATGACAGATGGTGTTTGTCAATCAGAAAACTCCATGAGCCGGTGCTGGCCTAGGCCATGGTGGAAGGGAGGGGCAGGGCCGGCTGCAGGGATCTGGGGACCACGGAAGGACCTGAGTGGGGAGGGTGCTGGCAGGGTCTGCCCTCAGCTGTCAGGACCACAAGCAGCAGAGCGGCTGTGGGGAGACAAGGGGGGGGGGGTGACAGTTCTAAGAGGTTGAAACAGGAAGCCTTAGTGACTTGAACTAAGCCAAGGGTGGGAAAATGGAGTTGGAGTGGCAGTCTGCGTTGAGGACGTGGCAAAGCAAAATGGAAGAGGAACAGGCCCTGCCCGGGCTTGCCACTCAGAGGGTGGTGCCAGGGTTAGAGAAACGGAGTGGCTGTGGAGAAAAGTCCCATGTGAGCCTGTGGATGTGGCATCCTGGAGGCCACCTGAGGAGTGGTCTTACCAGCTTGAGCTGGCGGACCTGAGCGGCAGGCTGGCTGCGGATGTGGTGGCATCCTGCCACGGGACAGTTAGAAGCCTGTCTGCCTGTTGAGCGTGCCTGCTCCTCTCCGTGGGGTAACGGCACTGACGAGGGCACACTCTTCATGAGGGTGTTAAAGAAGACAGAAGCGAGCCTGCCTCGTGACACGGCCCTCGCTGAGTTGAGTGCCGTGAGAAGTAGCCACTCAGGAAGGGTTGGAGGTTCGGGGCCTGGAGCCAGGCAGCCAGAGTCCCGGTGACCCAGGAAAGCTGTTCTCAAAGGATCTGCCTGCCTCTCCTGCTTCACCCCTGAGCCTGGCGCTGCTCCCTCACCTGTGTTTTGGGTCCATCTTGCAGGTCCAAGATGAGCGCTCTACCAGCTACCCGTCCCTCCTCAGCCACCTGACTTCCATGTACCTCAACACGCCTCCACTCGCCTTGCCCGTGGCCAAGAGGCAGGCCACCAGCCCTGCTCTGCGCTCTTTCCACCCTCTGGCTTCTCCGCTGCCCTGTGACTTCCACCTGCTCAATCTCCGCACGCTCGCAGCTGAGGTAAATGTTCCTTCCAGTGAGTGCTAAACCTTACCAACACACACACACACACACACACACACACACACCCCACACACACACACCTCTTCCCTGCTCAGTCTTGCCTTCTGGGCAGGAGTGCTGCCCACCTCCATGGCTCTTGCCCTGACTGTCTTCCAGGACACCTCCCCCTCAGCTGATGCCGCCCTCATCTTACACCGCAAGGGATTTGACTGTGGCCTTGAGGCCAAGAACCTGGGCTTCAACTGTACCACAAGTCAAGGCAAGGTGAGCAGGGCCCGGCGTGGGAGGCAGGGCCCCTGTCGGGACAGTGGAGCCCGGCCTTCCGGCCTTCCGCTGGAGCAGAGCTGAGAGCTTCCGAGGGAGGCTGGGCCGGGGTTGGCAGCAGGATGGGAGGAGCAGGGAGCAGGTGTAACCACAGGACTCCCAGAGACAAAGGGGAGGCTGTTGATGTGGTTTTCGAGCTGAGCTGGGCGGGAGCAGTTTCAGACAAGGCCCGGAACCAGAACACAGGAGGGCCCTGTACTGAGCGAAGAGGGAAACCTGAGAAATGAAAAACTACTTACTGCGCCTTTCAAAGCATGACTCACGGTGTCCGCTGGCCTTTGCTTGCTCTGGTGACTTGTTCTCAAACGCAGCTTGGTGTAGCAGTTCCTACACTGAGGAGCCCAGACAGGCTCTGGGCTTGAGTAGATTGTAGCAAAGCCCTGTCTGAGGCATGTTGCTTTCATAAGGTCATTGCCTTCTTACTTTTTATATTTATCTTATTTTTATTTATTTATTTTGTTTCATTTTGTTTTTGTTTTTCGAGACAGGGTTTCTCTGTGTAGTTTTGGTGCCTGTCCTGGAACTCACTCTGTAGCCCAGGCTGGCCTCAAACTCACAGAGATCTGCCTGTCTCTGCCTCCAGGAGTGCTAGGATTAAAGGCGTGGGCCACCACCACCACCACCTGGCTCTTATTTTTATTTTTGAGACAAGGTCTTATGTAGGCTGAATACAATGTTACTATGTAGCCAAAGCTGAGTTGAACTCCTGAGCGGCCTGCCTCTGCCTCCCAAGAGTTGCAATTGTGTGTCACTGACTCAGCTACTTTACCGAAGGATCTGACAGAAAGCCAGGTGTGGCAGCTTCCGGTATCATCATCCTAGCGCTCAGGAGACTGAGAAAGGATTGTTGTGAGTTCCAGGGCAGCCTGGATTGCAGTGTGAGACCCTGTCTTAAAAAGGATGTAAGGAAGAACTTAGGCCAGTGTTGGCAGTGCCCAGCTCAGCCGGCCTCCTCTCTCTCCACAGCTGGCCCTGGGGAGCCTCTTCCACGGCCTGGATGTGGTATTCCTGCAGCCAACCTCTTTGACTTTGCTGTACCCTCTGGCCTCACCCTCCAACAGCACGGACATCTTTGTGGAGCCCATGGAGATTGGCACCTTCCGCCTCCGCTTGGGTTAGGGTAGGGCTTCTTGTGGCCTGAAGAGAGAGTTCATCCACAGAGACCGCCTCTTCACACCAAGATGGGGTTGGACACGTCACACTAGTACCACATCCCGTTCTGCCCCTCAGAACTGTGACAGACTGGGCTTTGCCCTTGCGTTGTCTACTTCTGCTTCTGTGTTTGGGACAGCCCACACACCCGCGGTGAGCAGAGGCCAGTGGGACAGGGAGAGGAGGTTCTTTGGGTTGGGAGTGGGCGCCCAGGGGGGCACAGGCTCAGGCTCCCATCCCTTCCCCAAAATGGGACGTAGGAAGAGTGGGGGCACGTGGGAGAGGTCAAGGAGGCTGAGGGGGAGCGGACCAGAGCCAGGTGACTGCAGTTATGAGCTAGCTCTAGGGGGTCCTATGTGACATAGACCCCACACGGCCTAGTATGAGGCACAGGGCAGAGTGCTTCTGGGAGAAGGGCAGAAGGACCCATTGTTAGTGGAGCGGAGGAGCGGAAGGATCCCGAACTCTCCCAAGAGCTGAAGGGCTTTGCGCTTTCCGTTCTCGGCCTCTGCTCGAAGTGCCGCTGGGCCTGTCTGCCCTGCCTAGTGACTGCTGGGTGGCAGGGAGGACTTGCCTGAGACTCTAAATCAAGGCCAGAGGCCAGAGAGCACTTCGGGACCCCACACCCATGCTGCGCTGGTCATTTGGTGATGTGCGGATTTGTGGCGGGGGTGAGAGGTGTCTCCCACCCTTCCTGTCTCTTCAGCTCACACACCACTCTCCTCACAAGTTCCTGTCGTGGGGTTCCTGGCTAACTTCCTTTCCCTAGAAAGGAAATGGAGCTTCCAGGAGCCCTGTGTTTGGGCACCTTGGGAAGGTACCCATGCTGGGTCCAGTGGAAGGCTGAGAGGCTAATCTTCGTTCGATCGGCAGAAACACGACTCTCCTGGTGTGTGGGACGAAGAGGGTGGAGACAAAATTAGGAGGCTGTATGCTTCGATGAGCCTTCATTTTAGCTTCAATTACTAGAGAATTTGTCTATAAATGGTGAAAGAGAGTTGGTAAAAGTGAAACTCCATCTCTCATGAAGACTTAGTAAGCCGAGACTAGAAAGACGCATCATAGTCTAGACAAAGGTCCCTGTCACCAGTGAAGGACCAAACAGCACAGGCACTGTCCTGAGAGTCAGAACCTAGCCGGGGGCATGCTGTGATGTAGCAGAGCCATGGTATCACCCACCCCTCAATTCAGATGGAGACAAAGAAGAATCATGACTGCCACTGTTTTTAAACCGTAAGCTACCTAAGATATCAGTGTCAACTGAAGACCCAGCAGGCCATTCTGTGAGTTGCCTCAGTACATGCTCCTTCCCAAAGCAGCCCATAAAATCAATGGAATTCCAGCGAGATTGTCACTTTTTGGACTTCTGCCAGTTCTGCCATTCATTTAGGAGAGTACAGGATGAGGACGTGAGTAGTTCTGAAAGGCAGTGGTGATGTATGCTGATGGTACCAAGGTGGCACAAGGCACTGTATGGCAGAGTCCTCAAAGGCTTGGACTCTGCCAGCATGAGTTCAGTCATCATGATCAGATCAGAGAGACTGATGGGCAACACAGAGTTCAGACAGATCCAGGCACACAGAAATGTGTGCATGATTTCAAGTGCAGGGAGGTGGGGGAGATGGATTATTTAATAAATAGTTCTTTGAGACAACTAGCTATCTGTTAGTTAGAACTCTACCTCAGTTTCCCAAAAAACTAGGTCTAGAGGGAAAAAAAAACAAGAAACACACACACACACACACACACACACACACACACACACACACACACACACACATTTTGAGACAGGGCCTCACTGTGTGTAGCTCTGGCTGTCCTGGAATTCACTATGTAGACCAAGCTGGCCTCACAGTCACAGAGACCCCCCTCCTGCTTCTGCTTCCCCAATGTTGGGACTAAAGGCATGTGCAACCGCACCTGGCAAGAAAATATATTTTTATACCTGATGTAGAAAGGTCTTTTCTAGACAACATGAAACCTTAACACATGATAGAGGGAAAGACTAAAAAATGGATTTTGCCACAAAAAAAAAAAAAAAAAAAAAAGGAAAGCATGTTCTAGGAACCAGGTTCAAATACGACTGTGCAGGTAGGTATTTGCAGAAAGTAGTCCCTGCAGGGGAAAAGCTCGCTTCGGCTCCTCAGAGAACGCCACTAAGACCTGCCCAGCAGTCCCCCAAAGATCCACTAGTGACAGGGCTGAGTTCTTGCAGCCCTCCAGAGTGCATGCGGCCGGTCTCAGGTCACATGGATTCCAGTCATGTCCTGCTGAAAGGAATGAGATGACGAGAGGGAAGTGCTTACTTAGCCCCGAGCCTGGGCTGTGGACAAGCGTAGGCGGAAGTTTGTCCCGACCGCCTAGACACGTTAGGAAAGACTATGAAGCCACTGTTACAGCAAGTGTTATTTGCTGGTGTATGCTTTGTAGTCAAATGATAGGGGAGACTCTGTGAACCCCTAGGAAATTAGCAGAATAAAGGATATTCTTTGAAGGTCTTAGATGTGCAGTAAAGTTAATCACACAAAAGTGTTTGGGGGGGGGCGGGGGAGTCTTGCAATGTGTCCCTGGTCAACCCAGACTTGCCATAGAGAACCAGGCTGGCCTTGAACTTGTCATCTTCCTGCCTCTGCTGCCCACATGCTGGGCTCACAGGTAGGCACCACGTGCTCAGCTGGTGTTTACATGTGTAAATATTACTTAGGGCAGTATTGTTCAGGATGCCCAGGCAGCAGAGTGGCTTCTGGAAAACGCAGGTCCCTGTCCTGTCCTGAACAGGGCTGTCTCTTCAGTTTGGGTGTGGCAGTGATGTGCAGGCAAGGCGGTGTGTAACTGGATCAAGAAACAAGCTTGCTCTAGAGCAGAGGAGGAAAAAAACCAACTCCTAGTATATATAGTATATATAGCCTTTGGACCAATCTCTGGGAGTAAGGGCCAAAGAATTTCCTTTGTTTTTTGTTTTGTTTTGTTTTGTTTCTCTGTTTTGTTTTCTAAGACAGGTAGCACAAGCTAGCCTCCAACTTATAGAAATCCTCCTGCCTCAGCCTCCCAAGTGTAGGATTACAGGTGCATGCCACCATAACCTGGCTCGAATTGGTCTCAGTAACGGCCCAGTGAGTGCCTACTATTTTAAGGCAAGCAGTGGCCCTTGTCCAGAGCTCTGGCACTGACGCCTTACTAGTGTGAGGATAACAGTCTACGGTAGAACCAGGACACAACAAAACAACCTCCATCACCAGAAAGGGAAGGACTTCCTCATTGAAACACATTCAGTTCCATGAAGAGGAAAGGGCTGAGCGTCTAGCTGGAAGCACGGAGGGAGAGAGAGGCGGGCAAGCATGAGGCGCTTCATCCTCTTGCTTCATCCTTTTGTCCAGGCCCACATAGAGTCTGGCTCTGCCTTCTCCAGGGCAAGAAGAGAAGCAGGAATTCCTGGACAGCAGCATCTCCAACTTGAACTGGAACGGCTTGGTTGCTGCCGTAGTGGTTACTAAGAAGGTCCTTGTGAAGCCAGGCACCTCCGTTCCAGCTACCCTGGGGGCAGAGGCAGGAGTCTCTGGGGCCCAGGAGTTTAGAGCCAGCTTGAGCAACATTGAGACCCTATCTCAAACGCTAGCTGTCAGACTAAACTGCCTTCCCACACACAAACCACAGAGGAAAAACATTATGTAGTGAAGGGGGGGGTGAGGCTTGCAGTTCAACTAGAGATCTCTGAAAAACTGTTCTCTCCTCACAGAAATGTGTGTAAAGGGCAAGTCTCACACAGGGAGAAGTGAGGAGAGACGGCTCTTCCACAATGCCAGCTTTGTGTAGGCCCAGTGGGAAGGAAAGTCCAAATCCTAAGAGTTGCTAGGAGCAACTGGGTGTAGTCCAGCTTCTGACTTTGGACTCCCTGGTTGATTTGGATAGCCTGCACACAGGAAGCCCAAGTAGGGCTGGTGATGATGACTTCTTAATATGTACAGTGTGGCACAGTTGAAGATTAGAGATACTGGTGGGTGAGAAAGTCCCTTGGAGGAAGAAACACTTGGGTTTCTTTGTAAGCATTGCATGCTATAGTTTGAATATGAGTGTCCATCTGGAGTTAGTTCAAATGAAATACTATTAAGAGGTGGGACCTGTGGGAGGTGATTAGGTCATCCAGGCTCCTTTCTAGTGTGGGGAGATGATGGCCAGTGTAAGAGAAGGGAAGAGGCCAGGTGTGGTGGCCATGCCTTTAATCCCAGCACTCGGGAGGCAGAGGCAGGCGGATCTCTGTGAGTCTGAGGCTAGCCTGGTCTACAGAACAAGTTCCAAGACAGCCAAAGATACACAAAGAAACCCTGTCTCAAAAAACTAAAGAGGGAGGCACATTATTTTCACCTTGGGGAAGGAAGAGTCTGCTGAACTCAGGGAAAAGCTTGTTTCAGGCAGAGGCAGTTTTGTCAGCCTGGGTCAAGGAAACCCCAACAAGCCACGGGGCAAAATGTCTTCATACACCTTCTTCATGCAGACTTGCCCTGTGGAACAGCATGAGAAGAAACACCCTGACTCCTTGGTCAACTTCACTGAACTCTCGGAACAAAACAAAACAAAAAGTTTCAAAAGATGGAGGACCATTTCTGCAAAGGAAAAAAGTCAAAGTCTGAAGGTATAGTCCAGAGTAACGGAGCTCACTGTGCCCTGGAGATGAATTATGTCCCTCCCAAAGGTGCTAAGGAAAGCAGAAGCCCCCAGTGCTCCTAAAGACCCTATCTGCCTCCTTCCTGTTTGCTCTGAACATCAAAGGCCAAAACTGAACACTCAGGCTTGTCTATTAGAGATATTAGGAAAAAAAAATCGGAACAGTCAGAGATAACTACATGAGCAGAAAACAGCTAGACTAACGGAGAAGCGGGGGAAAGACTGCGGCGCCCGGCGCCAAAGGCAAAGGGGAAGCCGGAAGGACCGGCCTTGGTGTCCAACGGGGCTTAGAGTCATGAAGGAGAAGAGGGTGCGCAGCGCCTGCCCTGCGATGTGCGCGCGTGTGCTCAGGCAGATGTTTTGCTAAGAATGGAAACTTCAAGTGCTGCTCAACGTTAGCTTCGGGGTAAAAACGATAGATTTGAATGGCCGATGAAATTTAAGAAGCCTTCGGTGGAGGCCAAGCATGGTTGCGCAATCTATAACCCAGCAGAGGCAGGATTTTAGTAGACGTTTGGGTGTCAGCCCGGTCTGCGTCAGATCCTATCCACACACACCCCCCGCAAACCCCCCCCCCCAAAGAAATAAGGGGCAGGTGAAGGCGAGATAGATCACTGGGTAAAGACACCAGCCGCCCAGGCTTGACAAGCTGAGTTCGATATCCCGGACCCACATGATGGGCGAAACCCAACTTCCCCAAGTTGTCGACTGATTGCCACACCCACACTGTGGGACGTCCGCAGGCGCGCGCACACATACAAGCACAAAAATATAACCAAAAAAAGAAAAATCCTCAGCAGTTAACGCACCCCCCAAAAAAACAAAAAACAAAGACAAAAACCCTGGTGACCGCTCCAGGGGCCTTTTTTTTTTTTTTTTTTTTTTTTTTTGTGCCTCCTCCAGACTCCACCCACCTCCACGGGCGGGGAAACGTCAGGGCCACTTCCGGGTACTCCGGAAGCTCTAGCCTCTTAGCAACCCAGGAAACCATCAATCTTTAAGGGTCAAGGCATAGGCTATGAATCTCGGAGCAACCCGCTGCAGTTTGTGTATGGGAAACGGAGGTCTTCCAGGCCTTCCCGCATTACTGGGATTTCTATTTTTCCCAGCCATAAGTGGTGGCATTCCTTCCCAGTTTATCTGAGTTAAGGGAGCTTTCCAGATTACTCACCTACATCATCTGACCTTCATAACAACACAATCCAGCTCAGTGATAAGGACACCATGCTCCAAGGGTTGATGCTCTCAACCTAACGGAGCTGATGCAAGGGACACATAGTTGGAAGCATGTATGTAGCGGGTGGGTGCTTCACTCAGGAGACCAGGGAAGGAGGAACAGCAATTTACGCTTTACCCTAAGTGCTTTATTTTCCATGGCTTATAAACCAAAGCTCACGCAATCTTAAGTCCCCGGAGGGCCAGAGGTCCCACCATGAAACACAGCAAACAGACCCAAGGCTTGAGGAAAGGCTGTGAGTACAAGGATGGATGGTTATATCTGATTCCCACACTGGGGGCTCGGCTGAGTGAGAATGCAGACGTTTTTAGCCTGTAATGTACGAGCTGAGGGAGGGAATGTGAGAGCCGGGGAGGCTCTGAAATGCTGCAGGAAGGATCCCATCTTGCCTGGGCCTTGCTGGAGCCTTGCCACAGGATGTCACCAAGTCCGGCTCAAAGAGTCAGCCCTCGCTCCTCGAAGAGCTGCTTTAGAGCCTCTTCCAGTTGCTGGTTCGTTCCCTGGAGCCCCTTCACCACCTGTGCTGCCCACTCGAAGTACTCCTGGACTCGATGTTCTGACCATCCTGCACAAGAGTGGACAGAGACCCGCCCAGGTGGCGTCGAGGCCAGCACGGGCGTTTGCCTGTGTCCTGGACGGCTTTTGGTACAAGGCCATGGATGGGTTGCGGGAAACGACCTGACAACTTCTCAGTGACCCAGTAACTTTTCCCACTTTGTGGAAGAAGACTGTTCTAGGTTTAGTTCGAGGCACTAAGACCACCCCCGACCCCACCCTCCTTTATTTCTGGGAAATTGACCAACTCGTGTTTTTAGAAGCTGGGCATCCCTCCCTCTCCCCTCAGAGGCAATAGGGGAGCATACCTTGAGGGGTGCAGCGATTCAGGTCCCTCAAATTGTATAGTTTGTCTGCCAGCTTCACCAGCTTGGCCCCTGGGCTGCTGTGGGGTGCCCGCTCCACCTGCTGCCGCTTTCTTTCCAGTTTGGGCAGAGTCTTGTCATCTGTTACTTCCTCCACCAAGCCCCGAACCTGGGCTCCAAAGTGCAGCTCTACCTCATCCAGGGTAGTGTCTGTGTCTTCTACTGTGTCATGGAGCAGGGCCGCCTGGGGATAGGCTCCCATTCAGCCCAGTGACAGCAGCCTACCAGCCAAAGGGCACCCATCGTTCCACAGTACTCCAGTTCCCACACCCGCCTCCGTGCAGAGACGGGTCAAGTTACCTGTAACACCACAATGTCTGTGATTCCCGCCTCATGGGTTAGGATCCGGGCCACACCTGACGGGGCAAAGCAGAAGTCAGACTAGACGGAGCCACAGCGGAGAGCCAGGTGTAGCCCGGCACCAGCTGGGGGACCTTGGAAAGTCAACCCTCTTGGGATATCGCCTGCACTAAGGGGACGATTCCGCCTGCTGCCCCTGGTGAGGCTGCCGCGGCACAACGCATGAAAAGTGATTGACACAAAGCTTGGGACTCAGTAGGCGCTCCGTAATTTGTACACCCTTGGTGTTCCGGTCCCAGCCGGTCCCCACCCGCCACGCGCCGCGAGGACTGCTTCCCAACCGGCGGGCCCACCGATAGGGTGGTTGATGTAGGGAGTCCCTTCGGGATCTTTCCGTCGCTGCTGTCGGTGTTTCTGAGCGGCGAAGTCTGCAGCCTCCAGCAGCTGAGCTGCCTCGGAGCCCATCGCGCGGGTGGCGCGGGAGACTGAAGCCCCGGAGTCCGGATAGATCAGCTACAGCGCCCCCTGGCGCATCGGAGACTCGGAGAACAGCGTTGATTCTAAGAAGCTGTCATTTCTTTATTGTAGCCACCACACACACCTTTCGTGTTAGGCGTGTGTGTGCGCGCGTGTGCGTGTGGCGTAGAGCGGCCATGGGTCGCCCCCTGAGTTTTGGAGACAAGGTTTCTCCTTGAAACTGTAGCAGCTCAGGTATTCAGCAAGACTAGCTAGCCAACTATTTTCCGAGGACTTTCCTGTTTCCGCCTCCCCAGCACAACGGGTGTGAGTTGCCACCCCCAGCTTTTTATCCGGCTCTTGCCTTTAGTCTAAATGCAAGACCCCGGTCTCAGTGGAGGTTCGTCAAAGGCTGAGATCCCCGGCATAGAAAAAAGCCTTCAGCCTGGCGGTGGTGGTGCACACCTTTAATCCCAGCACTCAGGAGGCAGAGGGAGGTGGATCTCTCTGGAGTGATGGTGCTCCAGGACAGCCGGGCTATGCAGAGAAACCCTGTGTCGAAAAAACAAAAACAAAAAAGGAAGGAAGGAAGGAAGGAAGGAAGGAAGGAAGGAAGGAAGGAAGGAAGGAAGGAAGGAAGGAAGGAAAGGGCCTTCAATAATCATGGCTGGTGGGGTGTACTTGGCTCCAGTCTCAAGAACATAGTATCCTGGCACTCTGAGAACTAACAGTCTGTGGAGAGAAGGAAGACAAACAAGAACCAAGGTAATGGCCTCAAGGAGTTCTGAGTACAGAGCTGGAGGGCCTAGGTAGCCATGGGACCATAGAGAAAGCCCAGTTCATCTAGCCTGGGAGGCAGAGACATCTTCTTCGAGGAGAAAAGGGCTGTCTACAACCATTCGATGCCCGGAACATTTTCAAAGTTCTCCAAACATAGTTCTCCCCACAGGGACTGTCCCTGTTACTATGGGCATCTGAGCCTTACATTCGAGCCCTAGAGACACTACGTCTTGACCTTCTGGAGAATTGGATCCTGAACTAGAAGTCCTGCCTAATTGCTTCAGACTCAGGCTCCCGGGAGGCAGCGCTGTTTCTACAGAAACTGTTTGCATTCATCTCTTATACCATAAGGGAGCCTGCTTCTGTCCCCAGACTTCTGCTGTGGGCCTCTGAGGTGATGAGTCTTGCCCCTGCTGTTTCAGGAACATAATGTTGCCTAGCCTGGCTAGGCCCTAGAATCACCCTCCACTGGCCAGTGAACTTTGGATCTTCTGGGGAAACTTCTCTTTCTTAGTGTTGGCAGCTCTGAAGTATGAAGGGTAAGTGAGACGTGGGAGTCTCCCCAAAGGCCTGTCTGAGAAACGGAGGTAGCCAGCTGCTAAGCGCATTCCAGTCAGGGGGGTAGCTTTTGTGTCTGGGCCGACAGCTGGAGAGATGATGCTCAGAGGGAGTTTAATGACAGGACTCTCTGATGGGCTTGGGGGTTGCCGAGTCACTGTAGTATGGAGGGACGCTCGGCAGGCTGACCGGAGCTCTCTGGGGCCTGACATGGGATGGTCAGAATCCCCGAGGTGTCTGTAGCAGCCTAGAAGTAGGAGAATGGGTAGACGGAAACATTTTTGGCTTTATTTCATGTGTTCCTTTTTTCAGGACAATGTCTCAACTTCTCTCTCGCCTGGCATCCCCAGTCCTCTGAGCAGGTCCTCCCTTCTGCTTAGATATCGTAGGCCGTTTGGAGCCAGAGGCCTCACAGTTCCCAGCCGATGATAAGCATCCAGTTGTTCTCATCTCTCTAGGAGCCTGTGATGGAGGAGGGTCCACCCCTACGGGTCTCGGGACTTTCATTTCATGTTACTTATTGTTGGTAGTCATGGCTTAGGACACACACTGGATTCCTAGGACTACGGCTGAGGCGGAGGTAACTTCTCATGGGCCTCCAGAGGAGGAGTCCAGGGCCTCCACTGACGGGCCTGTCTGTGGGGCTGCTACTGCTTTTCAGTTGGATGAACCTTGCCCACCCCACCGACCTCTCAGGTATACAACCCTTCCCCTATCTTCTGAGGGCGATCTGGGCTGCTGGGGAAGCTGGTGATGAAGGGTGAAGAGACTTGGACCCCACTTTGCACCTTGAACCGGGCGAAGGGGGTGCGGGTAACCTCCCTTCTCGACAGACGTCTTGCTTCTCTCCAGCACTGGCTCACCACCCCCACTTGTGCCAAACCACACGGGACGCTGACGGCCGCCACTACCCGGGTTTCTTCTGTCCCCGCCTCTCTGACACTCCCGAGGAAGCTTACTGTTGCCACCTGCAGGCTGCCGGGGGTTCCTGCTGCACCCGCGACGAATTTGAGGCCCTGTACCAAGTCAACTTGTCTACTCTCCAGCCCCCACCCATCCTCAGGTGAGACCTCTGCCCCCAGATCCACAGGACGCACTGGCAGGGTGCTCCCAGTGTCTTGGGCTCTGTCCTTAAATTCTGCGGTGGAAGGCTTGTAGCTTCCGGACTAGCGGAGAGGAAGCCACGTAACCCCTGATTACAAACAAGTCTGAAGGAGTAAGAGGTGACCAAGGCTGCTGTGTGTTTTTGCGGGACTTGAGGGTTTGTACGGTGCCAACAGAGAGGATCTTGTAGTCCATGGGTTACACATACTGTCGTGGGGGGTTTAATTCCGAATCTGGCTGCGTTCGTCTTCAAGATACTTGCGAGCTCCCAAATTTTTACGCAAAAATATGCGTATGCAGTCTGTGTTTATGGCGCGCTTTCTCCGACGCTCTGGGCTCCGAAACCCCAGACGTGTCGCAGCCAGTGTCCGCTCTTGATTCGCGTCCCTCTCCCACAGGGGGCCAGGCCCGCTCCTTGCACTGGGCTTCTACGGGCTTCTTCTGGTGGCACTGATGACCGCAGATTTCGTGCACTTCTGCCGCGGTCGGGGACGGAGGAGGGGACGCCGAGACGCCAGCCGCCGCCGCCCTGCCCTTCGGGCCTCCGCCGCGCGCCCCCTACGGGTCCCAGTGGGGACACACTAGCAGCGTCCCTGAGCCTGCGCTTGCGCCTGCGCCTGCGCAATGCGGCCGAGCTCCCGGCCCTCGCACCGCTGCAACCTTGCCTTGGCCTCGCCTTCTTTGGCGTAACCCCGACGCAGCGCTGGGGTGGAGCAGCCCCCGGCATCTTCCCGATCCCGGGGCCACCTTTGCTCCAGAGACTGCTCCTGCGCCGGCCCCGGAGCTCAGCTTCGCCATGACTGTGAGTGGTCCAAGGGACTCCCGAGCCCCGATCTCCCGTCCCCGGGGTGCATACTGCTCCTCCCGCGACATCCCTCCTTCGCTCCTGGCCGCCGTCACCCCATCCTAGCCCTCCACGGGACTGTCCCCGGACCCGGCTCCTCTGCCAGCTGCGCGGCTCTGCCCACCGCCTTTCTCTCTCCACAGGCCAGCTCTGCCGAGCAGCTGCGGAAGGAGGGCAACGAGCTGTTCAAATGCGGCGATTACGAGGGTGCCCTGACCGCCTACACCCAGGCCCTGAGTCTCGGCGCGACGCCCCAGGACCAGGCCATTCTGCACCGAAACCGGGCTGCTTGCCACCTCAAGCTGGTGAGGGGAGCGGGGGTCGGGTTGGTCCTACCTGGGCCCGGGGTTGCCCATAGCCGCTGCAGCTTGCGCACGAGCTGGGCATTTCCTAGCCGCTACCCACGGTTGCTAGATGTCTTTGGGCATCGGGGAGTCAGCAGAACAAGGGTGCCCATTGCTACTCGATTAGTCCCTCTTAGGCTCCCGATCCTTCTCTTACAGGAAGACTACAATAAAGCAGAGTCAGAGGCGTCTAAAGGTAGGGGGTGTGGGCCCTCATAGGGCGCTGGGGGTCTTCTGTGGTGGGCAAGGACTCCTCCTCCTTTGGTTCCAGACCCTTCTCTTTCTACTTGGCTTTCCCACTCTCCGGCCTTTGCTTTTCTGCAGCTACCCTCACCTTTTCTGAGGCTGAAACACCGAGCTCCACGTTCGTACCCCCACCTTCCTCTGGCCCTCAAGATCTTTCCCTCCGGCTCTTGCCTGGAGATGGTGGCCTCCTGGGTGCTGACAGAGCTCCTGTTTCTGCTCAGCCATTGAAAAGGACGGCGGGGATGTCAAAGCCCTTTATCGCCGAAGCCAAGCCCTAGAGAAGCTGGGCCGCCTGGACCAGGCTGTCCTTGACCTGAAGAGATGTGTGAGCCTAGAGCCCAAGAACAAAGTTTTCCAGGAGTCCCTGAGGAGCATTGGGGGTCAGATTCAGGAGAAGGTATGTGAAAGATGGAAGAGAGGTCGGGCATTGCCCGGGTCTGGGTCAAGGGTGTAGAGACAGTGTTCCCGAGAGGAGCCGATGGTAGCAAACACGCATTAATAATGCTCAGCCTGTTGGAGGAAATCAAATTAAAAGGATGGTTGTTTGGGGCATGTAGAAGTTTATACACTTGGCAAAGAGTGAGGCAGGTATGAAAGCCATGTGGCTGTGTGTGTGTGTGTGTGTGTGTGTGTGTGTGTGTGTGTACACACTCACAGCAGCTAGGGATGGTAGGCTGCAATGCATGTCAGGGTTGTAATCTTGTAACCTAGTTAGCCCACGGTGACCTTAGATTCACTACATACCCGAAGCTGGCCTTGAACCCCTGACTCTCCTGCTTCCAAAAACATTTTTATTTTTACTTTTTTTTTTTAAAGACAAGGTCTCATATAACCTAGGTTGGTCCTGGACTTGCTGTGTAGCTGAGGATGGCCTTGACTTCCTCCCAAGTGCTGGGATTTCAGGCATCTGACTGTTATTTCAGTCTTGTTTATAGTATGAGAAACTTGGAACTTGCCTAAATGCCCAGCAAGGAGAGAAAAACTTAAACAGATGAGGTCAGTGCTGTCGTTCTTGAAAAGTGGATCATACAGAGAGAGGGCTCTGCCGTTTGGTGGATGGAAAAGTGAAGTATGCAGTAATACACACAGAAAAGTACTGTTACCACTGAGCTAGTGACCCATATGGTATATCATGTCTGGGCACATTGGGTAAATATGTGTAAGTACAATGAGAAATATTGTTAAAGTTGTACAACAAAACTCTGGGAAACTCTGCTAAACTCTGGGAGTTCAAGGCCAGCCTGGTCTACAGAGCAAATTCTTGGACATCCAAGGCTACACAGAGAAACCCTGTCTTGAAAGAAACACACTTACAAAGCCTATTAAAAATGTACACCAAAGGCCAAGTGTAGTGGCACACACCTTTAATCCCAGGGCTCAGGAGGCAGAGGTAGGCAGATCTTTGTGGGTTCAAGGCCAGTCTGGTCTACATTTAAAAAA